GAGAATCAATAATACCAACTGGTCAGATCTACTTCATGGGGCAGATGTAGATGAGGCCGTGGCTAGATTTTACGATGTGATCTACGAAATTATTAATGATTGTACTCCAACAGTTAAAAACCGCTCAAATAAATATCCCAAATGGTTCAGTCCTGGCTTGCGTCGTTGTATGCGGGAAAAAAACAAATACCACGCGCGCTACAAAAAATACAAAAATCCACGAGATTACGATACATTCTCTCTCCTTCGAGCTAGATGTAAAAAACTCATAAACTGTTGTTACAATAAATACATCAGATCTATCGAAAATGGTTTGAAAAAAGACGTTAAGTCGTTTTGGAGTTACATTAACAGCAAAAGACGCAACAACTCGAGTATTCCCGACTCAATGACATTTGGTGAAACAACGGCTGCTGGTGGTAAGGAAATCTGCGATCTGTTTTCAGAATTTTTTGGATCAGTATTCGAAGATCATAGTCGTGGATCGGGTGTATCCGTCTGTTGTAGTCAAACAAATAGTCTTCTTACTAAAATCGTACTCACTGAGAACGAAATATTAACAAAACTGAGGCATCTTGACTCCAACAAGGGAGCCGGCCCTGATGGCATACCACCTATATTCTTGCGGGTATGCGCAGATGAACTGTGTCACCCGCTTCTGCTAATATTTAATAAATCACTGAATAGCGGTGTTTTCCCTTCTCGCTGGAAAAAAGCTAACGTTGTCCCCATATTTAAATCTGGTGACCGAGACAACTGTGAAAATTATAGACCGATAAGCATTTTGTCAGCAGTATCCAAATTATTCGAATCAGTAGTATTTGATCACCTCTATTTTCATTTAAAACCTCTTATATCAAATAAGCAGCATGGATTCATCAAAAGGAGATCGACAGTCAGTAACCTTCTTAACCTCAAAACCTACATATGCGATGCTTTTAACAACCGTGGTCAGGTAGATGCCATATATACCGATTTCAAAAAAGCATTCGATAAAGTGGATCACGCAATTTTATGTAAGAAACTCGAGTCACATGGTATACATGGCAGTCTGTTGCGTTGGCTCGAGTCCTACTTGAGGAACAGGAGTCAGCTCGTGACCGTCAAGGGGTACACATCAGAAGAAATCCTCATTAAGTCCGGTGTTCCACAAGGATCCCATTTGGGCCCCTTACTTTTTGTGACCTTCATTAATGACCTCATTGAGAAAATTCAGTCCCCTTGCCTGTTATACGCTGACGACCTAAAAATTTTCAATAGAATTGGTGGAGCTGACGACACTCGCATCATACAGGAAGACTTAAACAGCTTGTCTAATTGGTGCAGAGAAAATAACATGTTCCTTAATGTCAAAAAATGCTTTGTCATCACCTACACACTTAAAAAAAACAAGGTATTAAAAAATTACATCTTAGAAGAACAATCTCTATCTCGTGTGTCGTCTATTAAGGATCTCGGGGTTCGTGTTTGACGAACAGCTTAGTTTTCGCCAACATTACGATCTCATAGCCAAAAAAATCTAACCAGGTACTAGGTTTCGTTACTAGACAGAGCAGGCACTTCAGGAACCCTCAAAGTGTAATTTTGTTGTATAACAGTCTGGTTCGAAGTAATTTAGAATATAGCTCGATTATATGGAATCCACACTATGGAGTGCACTCTGAGCGCATTGAATCGATCCAATCCAAATTTTTGCGTTTATTAAGCTTACGTACTGGCAACAATAGAAGACTCCGGTCATATGCTGAGAGGCTTAAAGAGTTTAACATGATACCACTTCACCTCCGTCGCGACGAATTGGACCTAGTCAACCTACACAGAATAATACACTCAGAACTGGATAGCCCCGAGGCCTTGGAACTGTTAAATTTTAACATAAGACACAACCCACGTAGACCTATGAAAAAAATATTTGACATACCCCTATCGCGAAATAATATCTCTCGAAATCAACCCCTATCAAGGTTATGTCGACTTTATGAGGATTATAGCCTTCGCTTTACCAACCTTGACATCTTCAACTCTAGCCTGGTTCGCTTTAGAAATGTTTTGAAAGACATTCTCAAGGACATCCCCGTCGATTGATATTCATTATATTTATAGTTCTTGATTTGTTGGAATCGTGAGTAGTTTAAGCAATTTTATTTAAAATGTTTGTTACTCAATCTTGGCATGCCGTGATAACACGTATAAGGATTATGTCTTGTATTACACCATTATTTTTGTAAGTTATAGCTTTAAGTCGTGATGTAATCTGTTGTGTTGTCCTATAATAAACAAATAAATAAATAAAAATAAATAAATATCAGGTGACGAATCCTGGATATACGCTTACGAACCCGAAACAAAAAACCAGTCACGAGTTTGGGTATTCGAAAATGAGTTAAAGCCAACAAAAATTGTTCGTTCACGGAGTGTTGCAAAAAAAAATGGTGTTGGAAAAAGCAAATTTTTGATGACATTGAGAACTGTTGGCCGCGGTAGAAACGGTTTAAACAATCTTTTAATACTCGTACATATATTTTATCAGCCATCTGCAAAAAACTGATGGAGACAAGGAAAACGGTGATCCTATTAAATTGCATCGGCCAGCAAGCTAAGGATTTAAATTTAAAAACACTGAAAACGGAAGACTCAGACAAGGTGAAACTACGGGAAGTTATTAGGATATTTGATTATTTCAAAACAAAACAGAACGAAGTCATAAATAGTAACAATTTTAATAAGAGAAGTCAGGAAGGTGGGGAGTCGTTCGACGTTTTCTACACTGCTCTGAAGAAGCTAGCTGTAACTTTGGTGACCAGAAGAATAGGATGCACTGGGATAGAATTTTTGTTGGAATTCAGAACCAGAGGGTGCAGCAAAAGCTTCTTGAAATCAAGGACTTAAGTCTAGAGAAGGCTGTGGACATCTGCCGGTTGACAGAGTTCTCCGAAGAACATGTGAAGAGGCTTACCAACCAGGAGGTGCGTGCAGTGCAGTCGAGAAATGGGTCACAGCATCAGCGCACTAAAACCAGGTAGTTTAAAGATAAATATCAAAATAATAAGAGCAGGGTTCCTGGTAATAATAATAACAATAGTAACCACAGCTACTATCTCTGTAAAAAATTTAATACAGAGCATGGCCCGCGAATGTGCCCTGATTATGGAATAAAATGTTTAAAATGTAACATTGTGAACCACTTTAGCGTGGGTTGCACGATCACTAATAGTAGCAATAATAATGTAAAACAACAAGTGTAACTTCACAAATAAACTCATGAAGATCTAAACTAACGCGTAATGAGGGTTGCAGGGAAGAAAAACATTATATTAACAAAAGTAAATTATAGGTAATGAGCTAATTATGTTTATATTTATGGGTTTAGATTCTAGTGTTCATCATCATCATCATCATTACAGCCCTTCACAAATCCACTGCTGAACATAGGCCTGCCTCAAGGAATGCCACAAAGCATAATCCTAAACCACCTGCATCCATCGACTTCCTTTATGTTTTACCAGGTAGTCACTCCATCTAGTGGGGGTCACCCTACACTTTCCCACGAAAATTAATTTTTTCTAGATTATTATGTAGTGCTTCATAACTGTATGTTTACATGTACTTCTAAATGATGATTTTTTTATTTAATTGTTAATTACAAATTCTAAAAATGTTTGACACTTTACCATTTTCTATCAATTAGCGTAGGGACAGACTAGTTTCACGTACGCAACGCATGCGATGTATGTGGGTGTACACTCACGGAAGTCATTAGAAAGCTCAGGCGTTTATAGAGAGCGTTTGCAGGGGAGTGTGGCGTAGTTAAAGTTTTTCAGAAGGGGGTCCAACGCACATCCAACTGCATATCCAATGCTCGCTAAGATTACGTGTTGCTGTTTTGGAATCTGTTCAGCTTAAAGGAACACGGGCCACCGGCAGACCGGAGGAGAGTAGCTATTCTTGGATACAGAAGTATCTGTCACTTTTCGGCGCACTCAAAAACAATCGTGTGTCTACGAAACGCACACATAACAATAAAAACAATAAACTAACAGTTTCACACACACGTAGATGCATCATAACACTATCGCTCTGTAAAATCAAAAACTTGGATACAAACTCAGATCAATATCTTTTTCTAAATTTGGTTTGGTAGATCTCTTTTTACAGCAAAATATTGAACTTTTTTGTAAGAAGTCGACTCAGCCGCGCAACTTTATCAAATACCTTTAAACGAGCAATTCTTATATATATATATATATATATATATATATATATATATATATATATATATATATATATATATATATATATATATATATATATAAGAATTGCTATATATATGTAATCGGAATCTCGGAAGCGGCTCTAACTATTTTCATAAAATTTAGTGTCTAGGGGGGTTTCGGGGGCAACAAATCAATCTAGCTAGGATTCATTCGTCCGTGTTTTCAAGCAATGAAAAACTGCTACAACATAAGAAGGTAAGTCTTGGCAATGTGCTAATGATTATAATAGCTCAATTGGGATATAAGGTGGTCCCGAAATCGTAGAACACTGGTTCGAGTCCTGTCCACCTTTTTACCATTTTTTTAAGTTCCCTTCTTTTGTGAGAAAATCTATTATTTCGAGCGCTATTTTTAATATTTTTTTAAACACGAAAATTTAAATTAAACTAATTGCACTCATGATCTTTTATTCAAATAATCAGTTCAGTTTTTTCTATTATGTTGGTAAGATCAAAAAATATTCTTCATATTTCATCAGTATGTAATTTGTATCTTAATTTCCAAAAAACAGGATTTCTAAAAAAAAATACCGGGAAAAGCTCGGTCATCCAGGTACTTTGGTCTAATTAGCAGTGCGGCTGTAACTAGTTTTATTTTACGCATACGAGTAGGATTGCATGGACTTATACTTTAACAGAGAGGGAGAGACTCTATCTAATCCCCTGGCGTGTTGGCTAGTATAAGTATAATTAATTTTAACAAATAAATTATTAATAAAAGCCGTACTTGAGGCTTGATGCACTGCCGTTCGAAGTATATCTGTCTGCGGCTACGTCGAGCGTCTCGCCCGAGTTGTTGAACTTCCACTTGAAGACAGCGGCTGGCGGGTCTGCGTCCACCTCGCATACGATCACGACGGATTCGCCGCGTGCCGCACCCACCACTGACACACCGCCGCTTCGGCATGAAGGCGCGTCTATAGAAACATTATGTTATAGACACACAGAGTATATAGCTATTGCATAGTACTTTTGCAAATGATGTTTGCAGCTGACGCAGGGCCGTGCTTTGGGCCCTTCCTTGCAGGAGGCTTATTTTCAGCAGTGGACTTGTGAAGGACAGTAACGCTGATACTGATGATGAGTGAGAATTATCATGTGTTAGCAACTCCAGGAATCCACCACAAAATTTCGTCCGATAGGTTTCGTAAGATTCGAATAAGAGATATATGATAAGGGATATGTGGGGGAATAGAGAGTGCAAATATTATACGTGGTAGAAGGCATGCTTCAGCCATTTAATGGATGTATAACTAATGAGTCGGCTCTACCTGGTAAGTACCATACTCTCATAAAATATAAGCGTAAAATAGCAGCTTAATACTGCAGTGTTTCGTACGGTAAGTATAGAGATACGTTACCCATTTTACTGAAAATAAGGCATTTCATCATAGTTCTCAAGGATGATTACGCATATGTATTTTGATTCTTGATTGAAGACAGATGTAGGTGACCTTGAGCAACATAATCTACTTTCAATTTAGTATTTGCTCGATTGTGACCCTTTTTCTACAAAAAATATTGCCAAAAAATGACGATATTATATCCACATTTATAATAGGTGTAAATTAATAATACTTAATGTCCTCTATCACGACCTTTAATCGTGACTTTTCTCTACGGAAGTAGCTATCTGTGCGAAAAAGAATTGTAATGTACGGCGGGTGTTCGCAACAAACATAGCCGCACCCTCTACTCCCTCACTCGTAGGTGGAAAAGCAATTCGATAAGACCGGAGTGAAACTAGGCATAGAATCGATGGATTTACGTTCCTTCCGAGGCGCAGCGTTCACACAAAGCCACTTTCCTGACTGTGTTTCTCATAGAGCGGGACAAAACCCGATCAAATGTTTTGGGCCCAAACTGGAACTAAAAGCCGGGAACATATGATCAGTAGTCAATTTTACAACTGCTGGACCAACGAGGCAGCCGTGGTAGGTGTAAATTATCCATGCTGGTGACAGCGAGCAGCGTCGTTTGCCTGTCGTTTTTTCTGTTTTCTTCTTTTTGTTTGTTTGTCTGTCATTCGTCTGTCCGCCAAGCGTGACAATTAAGTCTAATCTTCCCTACAACATGTTCCATGTGCAGCAGTAGACTTTTACGGGATAGTGATGACGAGTCAGAAGAATGACTTAGTTCTTAGGGGTGACAAAGCATCTACAATTTGGCTACTAATCAAGGATAAATATAGATGTGTATGGGCCACAGCGTCCACTTACCATCAGGTGGACCGTGTGCTCACTTGTCACCCTTAGTTCATAAAATATCCCTGATGTAGCAGTTGTTCGTGGGCAGAAGTAGTCATTTACCATCAGGTGTGCCGCACGCTCGTTTGCCTTCTCTTATTTAAATATACAAACGTGTGATCGATATATTAAAAAGAAAGATTACTGCCGCCACAAAATATTTCTAAGTATATTTCTAAGAACCTTTGGTTTAGTATTAAGGCAACGGTGAGGACAGCTAAGTATACAATGCGACCAACTATTTTTAATTTTGTGCAAATGCTTGCCCGGTTCTGACCTACGTCTGAGAATATAAGTACTCTGAAAAGTAAGGCACGCGGCGGTAAATTTAAATAAAATATAAGATAAAAATCGTATAGGAACGTTACCATGCATGTGGCCTTGTAAGAATGTCCACTACCCCATAGTACCGTGGATGTCGCAAGAAGCGGCATAGGGAGACTGGAATAGGACATGGTCAGCAACGGCTTCCTAATAACAACTCAAAATAATAAAATAGCTGCGGTTGCTAATCCGTCTGCCATGCGTGGCAACTGTGGCAAAATCCTCATATGACGCAATATATAGGGGAGGCCCATATTCAGCAGTGGGTAATAAATATATATATATATATATATATATATTATATATATATATATATATAACTGTGATGGAAGATGAAAGGTAAAGATAAAAAACTATCGATATACCTAACATAATCACCTGAATACATTGTGCGATATAATCTTGATCACTTGCCATTACAAAAAAGGAGTTCGGAAATGTCGTTTAAGGTGCGGCTTTGTCCCAAGTAGGTAACAATATATCCTTGTCACGCGATATCTGTTCATTGCGGAATTGTTGGCATTGATTGTACGTTTACTGAAACATGTCACGTATCAGACATGGCTCCTTTTTTTACCAAAAAAATAGAACAGAAAAATTGGTTCTGATATATCGTCAGAAGCTTAAATAGGGATTGACAGCATTTCTTTGATATGACATAAGTTTCATGGTTTGTTTTCAAAACAGCTAAATTTTGTACATTTATATTTCTCCTGAAATCATTCATATTGAGATGGTATCTTTTAATATACTTTAAAAACTCTTCCCGGCTTTGACTGAGTAGGATTTATTAAGGTATTTAGATTTAATATAATCAAAAACCTTTTATTGTATGAATTTTTAGTTAAAAAAAAACCAATTGTTTTGACAAAATATAGCCTAGGTCCTTGATAATATTTCTCCCTATCTGGTTGTAAAATTTCATTACAATCAGCTATTCAAAATATTATCTCGGACACAGTCCGACAAAAATTCCAAAAATGGTTATTATTGATATCTTTGTAGCATGCAAAAACCATCCCGAGGTTTATATATATATATATATATATATATATATATATATATATATATATATATATATATATATATATATAGTCCACTACCCCATATAGTACCGTAGATGTCGTAAAAGGCGGCATAATATTTTTCTCGGATCGAACCAGAGATAATCCGTTATCGAACATGAGGATTTAATCACACTTTTGGGTCTATGTCTGCTTTTTAAAATTTTTTAATTAACTTGCAATGTATGTTTAAAAAGGCCAAATCTATCAACTGAATTTAAAAGTAGTTAAATTCAAACAATTGTGCTGAAATTATACATACATGTTTAGATTAGACGACAATGCATAGCTAGCTACGTGACGATATACTAAATCCAATATGGTGGAAAGTTTGTAAAACGACTCGTTGTTTTATATGTATTCCCATGACCAATAAAATGAAAGAACTTCCAAGAAAAATACAAAAATTAAAATGACGTCACTCTAAATCCAATACACTCCCGAAAATGGGGGGCAATGTTATTTATTTATATCGCATAAATTTTGGAATGTAATAAATTGTTAGGGTTGATTTATATTAAAATTTATTTTTTTCTTTTTAAAGCATTTAAATGAAAGCTTATTTTTAAAAAGGTTTTTGTTTAACTTTTACTAATTCATTAACATATAATTGAAAAATCAAATAAACTTTGCTATCGTGATGGAAAAATTGGCCAATGATATTAAATATAATATTATAAATATCAAGCAGATAAAAATATCGATGATGTTAAATATACAAAAGAGGAATTATTTCGTATTACCGAATCTTAAAGGATAAGTAATGGCTGGAGTGGTTGCTGTCAATGTTTCAAATACAAAACTTTATAATTCTATTCTAATCTGTCTTATATTTGTGTGTGGAATACTTTAATTTTACACTTTTTCGACTTACTCATAAATATCGACGTTAACTCAAGATTTTCTTAAAGTGTTTCTCTCTTTTCAATAAATGACGATAGAAGGAGCCAAAGATAGAAATAATTAAAACTTATAATCGACGATTATAAGTAAGTATATCTCGTGTACATAATTATTTTCTTATACATTTGCGGTCTCATTATATAGCGTGGTTTACTAGCAGTCTCAGGTTTATGTTATCAATAACTTACGTCATCAATCGTTTAAAATTTCCTTAAACCAAATTTTAAGACAGACTATAAATAAACATTATTTTTAAGAAGTCCGCTGATGTTTCGCTCTTTTTCTATTTCCTCTTTTTAATAACGTCGTCTTATCAATAGGATTTTCTACTGTTTTGTGGGGGCAATCACATACATAAATTTCACAAGGGCAAAAATCCAGACTCAGAACATTTATTTGTAGGCCATACAAACTTGTTGCATGCGAGGTTTGAATCCGCGGAATTAACGCTGCAACTCATTCTTAAACCACTGTGCCACGATGTCAAAAGCAAGCCGATGTTTATAGTACTCTGGAAGTAATTAAACCAAAAAATAACTTTTAAGAAAAAGTAACAACGTCGGTGCTAAGCGTTAGTCTATAGAAAAATAAATGCCCCGACTTCGGAATATAAAATTATTTTTCCTTTTTAGTTCTTTCAAGTTAGCTTTTACTTTTTGTTAAATTTGTTTACCCTATGACTAGACTAAGTAATTATAATAAGTATTTATCAAAGAAATTGCCGTTCTACAATACTGGATATTTAAATTCAAAATAATTTTTGTTTTACGAAGAATTCTAATTACAAAATAAATTTATTTTAAAGCATGGAATTCTGTTTTCAAAATTAGTCATTTGTTCATTGATAAGCGTTATGTTTTCATCTTATTTGAATATTTTTGTCATACGTTAAAAGTTCGAGTAATTATGGAATATGAGTGCCATCGTAGCAGCAACGCGGCAAAAGTGGCACACAACATAAGCGACATTTGCGGAGCGAATAGTTAAAACGAACGCAACAACCTGTTATTACTTTGCTCACTTCCGTTCTGAAAATTTAGACCCGAAAAATAAACGCCGTGGTCGTCCTAAATATTTGGTCAATTGTGGAAGCTGATAGTACTCAATCTTTGGCTGAATTAGCAGCAGCTTTCGACGTCAGCATCAAAATAATATTGGTCCATTTGCGTCAAATTGGCAAGGTAAAAAAGTTTGACAAATGGGTGTCCCATAAACTCAGTGATCACCAGCGTGGAGTAAGCGCCGCAGCGTGTCTTGCACTGCTCAACAGGCACACACAAAGATGGAGTTTTGAACCGAATTGTAACAAGTACCAGCGACGAAAAACGGATTATGTTTGACAATCGCAAGCGATGGTTTAGCACGTAAACAATGCCTTAAAAGAACTTACCCCTATAAAAGTGATAGTTCTCGTTTGGTGATCTAGCGCTCGTTTGATTCATCACAACTTCTTACTAAACTGCAGATGTGTATTGTGAAGAACTGAACACAATAATGAATAGTCTTGCACGTCTCTTACCAGCTTTGGTCAATCGCTTGTACCCGCTGCTCTTCCAAGTTACAAGAGCTGGGGTTTGAAGCTCTCCGTCATCCGCCGTACTCACCAGACTTTGCGCTTTAATCTTCCTACTTTTAACAGAATTTGGATGTCTTTTAATTAAAAAAATAAAAAACTTAATAGAGATAAAAATTGCCTTTGAAGAATTTGTTGCTTCCCATCCAGCTGATTTCTTCAAGAATCTTCCACTGCGTATGCAAAGATGTATCGATTGTATCAGTGATTACTTTAATTAATAGAAATAAAAATATAGAAAAAGTAAGTTATCGTTTTTCATAAGAAAAACAGCAATAGGTACAGGTCTAATAACGGTTTAACGTTGAATGCACCTAAGTTGCAAAGCGCAATCATTTAGCATATCTACTCTAGATTGAATCTTGAAAACACAAAGCTCCAGATATCAAAAAAGAGGTAATTAAACCAGGCTGCCGAGTCCTATAAAAACCGTTACAGAAAGCCAATCTCGATCGCATTAAACATATTGGCACAAAACTCTCTGCCAGACCATACGTCACTAGAGCTTTTTGGTCTCTTACCAAAGTGGCCGAGACAAACTTTTGTTTGTCTATACTGCCTTCGTATGGTATACTAGTGCATATGGCTAAAGAAAAAGCAGACTAGTTTGCGTCTGGACAGTAGCAACAACGTCCCACCTGAACTATCTCAATTCGGGACCTCGATGATAGAGGTTCGTATCACAAATGTGGAAGTTCTTAAAACCTTTCGGTGTCTAGACGTGAATAAAACTAGAAGACCGGATTGTAAACCAGCTGTATTTCTTAAAGATTGTGCATCTGATTGTTTCCTGTGCTGACACACTTGTTCCGCTACTCATTTACTACTGGAATAATGACGTAATCCTGGAAACTAACCAACGTGCAGTCTGCTCCAAAAAAAGGCAGCCGTGCTGACCTTTCCCAACTATCGACAATCGCAATTACCTCCATACTCTGCAAGATTATAGTGCGTATATTGAACGCACGATTAATTGCATACCTATAACAGAACGACCTTCTCAGAGACCACCAGTACGGGTTTCGCCGAAATTGATCAGACCTTCTAGCGCTTGCTACACACGATGGGTAAAATAATTCGAGAATAGTGGGAAAGCACTTGCTGTTTTTCTTAATGTCTTGAAAGCCTTTGACAGAGTTTAGCACGCTAGCCTTTTGCGTAAGTTTCCAGCATATGACTTATCTTCTGGTCTAATTGACTGGTCGTCGTCGAATGGTTGCTCATCCGATTTTGTGGCTGCTAACGCCAGTGTTCTTCGGGTGTGCGTCCTCTCCGCATCTCTCCGCATTTTAATGTGCTTATACCCGGTATGTATGAGTATGCAGATGACAGCATAGTTGTGGAGAGATACCAACCAAATTCTCGGGTTAGTCGGGATCAAATCCAGTCCAAAAGAGAAGCTATGGTTAAACGAGTGACACACTCACACACTATAGACAGTCTCCGGACCAATCTTGTGAAATCCGACTTCCCATACAGAAGCGTGTCTCGTCACTGCAAAAAGTAGCTGGTGCGACAAAATGTCATCTCGCAGCTTTGAACGGTGTACTAAAAGGCTTATATTTGACCAGAACCTGGATAAAACCAATTTTACCAGTCTCAAACACAGGCGCAAAGTAGCCAGCCTTGCTGCTACTTTGCGCCTGTGGTTGTACAGGATGCATTTGGGAGAGTGTGCGCAAGAATTGCAAAATTTCATTTCTCCCTCTCCTTTTGACCATAGGACAACCACATGTTCGGCCAGTCTCTACCATTTCGTTGTTGCCTTTCCATGCATTCGTACCAAATGGGAAAAGGACTGAAATAAGTTAGCAGCATTCGCCTTTCCATCCGATTAAAATGATGGTGTCTTCAAGGCAAGAGTGAATAGGCCTTTG